AGGGTTTAGGCTTTAAGGTTTGGGGTTTAGGGTTTGGCCTGTCTGACAATTTCACCAGGCTCAAGCATACCTTGGAATAATCCTAAATGTCCCATGTTTTGTGGGGTGCTTAAGACATTGATTATTACTACTACTACTACTACTACTACTGCTACTACTACTACTACTACTACATATTCTTACTATTACTATTACTATTGCCATTACGATTACTATCACTATTACTATTACTAGTACTATTATTATTATTATTCCTATCACTATCGCTTGCCTCCCTGACCCGGACTCGGGGCAGAGGTTCGGCGGTCAATCCGCCGCCATCCCTGGCGCTTCTGTTGGGGCCGGAAAGTGTGAGTAAAACCTTGAACAGTCGATTCCATTCTCCTTGCCATGATCCCACTATAACCCCAATACAACCCTTCTTTGGCACAAAGCTCAAGAAGAGACTAGAGCGGTCTGAGGACCAAGCATTAGATTAAAATTCTAATGCCCGTTCAGCTGCAGATGCAATTTTTGGGCACCTTTACCCTTTCTTAACTTACTCCATGTTCTTTTAAGCCTGCGGTTGTACAACTGCGTGCGGGTTTCAATTGCAGCGACTTCGAGTGACTACTGCATGTAGCATCGAATGTGATTGCTCAACATGGTGATCAAATGGCGGCGATCTGAAACATGCTGATGGTGAACACCGGTCGCGTAGACATGTATGCCACTGTCCTCGCTACTGGACTTGCTTGCTGTGCGAGGGCTAATACCTGCATAAACGCAAAGGCTTGCAATATGTGATTGACCCAAGTCAAAGAACTAGCAAACATGGTCATTCATCCTGTACAATACAATATCAAAGGCAGATTCTGTGACTCGGACGTTGCCAACAGAGATGAACCCCTGAACAAACCTTGATAGTACCTAGGACCTGGTGTGTACCTGTGGCTGAAAGGTCACACCTGAAGCTTTTCGTTGCCAACTTGGCTCAGCCAGTCCTGGACGTGCATCAAGCCGGCCATTTGCACCCATGCATGCTGCGTCGAAGGATAGAACTACTCTCAGTAATCTACTCCTTTCGACTGGGGTTCTTTGTTGCGTCTACGCACTGCACCCTCCGGCCCTTCAATCCTGAGCTACAAACATACAGGTAAACAGCAACCATCTTCGTGCGCGCAGATTCCTTCTCTGGGGCTCTGCTCGGCTCGAGCCAGCCCGCGAATCGCAGTGAATGCTTTTGAAGCGCCCAAAGTGCAAGAGTGTAGCACAAAATCGTCACGTGCCGAGGGCTCCATCTGTCGTCCACATGTGTTAGTTCCTGGGTCTGATATATGTTTCGAGGCTTGTTGTAACTCGTGTGTTTTTCATGTTTTCTGGCAGTACACAGGCCCCAATGTTTGTGGTTTGGATTCTTTCACTCATATACGTGCTGAGAAGAACTAGACAGTGCTGAAACACTGGCCGTACTTAGCTGGGGAGCGGGAAACCGCCATTCTAGTATGCCATGCACCTGCAGTTGCTACTCTTGTTAGCCGCCTCACTGCCTCCACGATTATTCTTATGCCGTCTCACGCTTGCGACCATACCTCACACATCCTGACACACGCTTCCTAGCTCGGCACGAATTGAAGGAGTCGTCATGGAACTGAGCTTCCTGGCACAGATACCGACGTGCTTTGGATTGCTTGCACTTCTGAACCAAAAAACATGTTTACAAGTACATAGTGCAGATGGCGTGTCATCACTCATCCCTGCTGAGAACAGAGCAACGCAAAACGTCTGCCGGAACTGTTCACGCCAAGCATTTGATAGCTTCCATAAATAAGCGGGAGTCCGATATAGATCCCAAAAATAACATACAAAAACTAGAGTCCTTATCGTGGGAACCCCATAAAAGGTCCCCTGATTTTTGGAAACAAAGATTTCAGCCTTACAAGCTGACAACAAGCCAGCAAGAACTCGAAGAATTCTCGGGCACGGTTGAAGTCCCCGACCTGCCACGTAGCCATGTAGCCATGCAAATCCGTGAGTCTTTGAGCAGTCAACCTCCGCACAAGTAGCAGCTGCAGGAGCCAAACCTCACTCCAAACCAATGGTACTCCAAAGCAGTTGTAAAACTCAATCCACTGAATCCGCAACTAGTTTTCGAAACCTCTTCCTCTTTCTCGCAAAAGCCAAAAGCAGGTTCAGGTGCAAACCCCTGTCAGCAGCTCCCTTTCAAAACCCCCATGACCCGAAGCACCCCCAGACACTAGAAACTGCGCCTCAGCAGCGAAGCGCACGAGACAGCTGCAGGTGATGGCGGTTGTCTCAAGGCCATCTTCCACAAGACGATCGTAGATGCCTCGGGGTGTTCAAAGAGGCTTGGTTGATGTTCGAAGGCGGGGTTTAGAGATCTGAGACCGACACGCAAGGCCAAGCGGAACTGCTTCTGAACGGCCAGCTGCTTCATGACCTTGCGAGATCAAAACCCTGCCCCCTGCCATAATGCCATAACAGCAACAACCGAACAAACCGTGTCCCCGTTTGGGAAGCCCTTCCTGCACTCTGCACTTTCATGCGGGCTAGGTCTGCGGCACTTTCATAGAAGGCCAAGGACCTTGGCACCTCAGGTGATGTGTTCGAGAAAACAGACTGAGTCAAGGAGAATCCTGAGAAAGCTTGATTGACAAGATCCCTTGGGATAATATGTAGGAATATAAGGATATATAGGGATAATGGAAAATAAAATGGAAGCTACTATAATATATTGGGTTTATATAGGGATAATGGAAAATAAATGGAAGCTACTATAATATATTGGGGTTATATAGGGTTTATATAGGGATAATGGAAAATAAAATGGAAGCTACTATAATATATTGGGGTTATATAGGGTTTATAAAGGGATACTGGAAAATAAAATGGAAGCTACTATAATATATTGGGGTTATATAGGGTTTATATAGGGATAATGGAAAATAAAATGGAAGCTACTACTACTATTTAGGAAGGAAGGGCTCAACCCTGGCAGGGAGGCCAGGGCTGCACTGAACCACACGTGAGCCACTGTCTAAACTCCTAGTATCCCCCTTAATAACCCCTATAGTAGTCCCCTATATAACCCCTTATAGAACCCTAAACCCCAAACCCTAAACCCCTAGACCCCTAAACCCTAAAACCTTAAACCCCCAAACCCTAAACCCTTAAACCCTAAACCCTTATCCAGGAGTTTAGACTATGGCTCACGTAGCCTTCCCCAAACCCAACACGGTCAGCACA